ATTGAGAAGTTACAATCTTAGCTGTATCTTTGCTTGGAGATCTCTTAACCTTTCAGAATGTTAACAGTGGGTGCGGTAGCCAATCTTTTGGTTTGAACCTTACCACAAAGCTAAGTGCTAACTGGTATTTTTTCACAGAGGCATTCTCAGTTTTATTGTTTCCCTCTTGGGGATGAGAAACAGCTGCTGCTTTTAGTCCTGTTAGTCCACTCACTACCTTATGGACTCTAATCTTTTCCTTTTTTGTGTATAAACCAGTCAATTATTTTCTGAACTCATCTTTCTCTCTCTCTCTCTTTTTGATCGTACTTTTTAAATGTAGTCAATAGCAACCAACATACCTTGCTTACCTGTGACTTTCAGTTTCTTCCACTAGAGGTACTAATTCTTTAGGTCCAGGCATACCTCGAAGGTGTTGCAGGTTATGTTCCAGACTATTGAAATAAAGCAAAGCATATGAATTGTTTTCTTTCCCAGCGCACATAGAAGTTATGTTTACACAATGGTGTAATCTACTAAGTGTTCAATAGCACTATGACAAACTTTGAAGTATTGTGAGAATTACCAAAAACAATGCAGAGACACGAAGTGAGCACTTAACTGTTGGAAAAATGGTGCCCGATAGATTTGCGCAGCACAGAGTTGCCACAAACCTTCAGTTTGTAAAAAATGCAGTATCTGCAAAGCACAATAAAACCAGGTATGCCTGTATATTATCTGCCTTACAAGTTATATATGATAACAACGAAAACCCAAATTTGTTGCTGTCGATTCCAACTCCTAATGACCCCATGTGTTACAGAGTAGAACTGAACTCCATAGTGTAATTTTTATGGAAGCAGATAAGCAGAACTATCTTTTGCGATGCTTCTGTGTGGGTTCAAACAGCCAACCTTTAAGTTAGTAGCAGAGTGCTTAACTGTTTGGGCCACCCAGGGACCTTATAATGGATGATAGTTTTATCAAATGCCTCACTTGTCTCCAAAATCCATTCCCTGGTTGCCTGCTGCTTGGCCCGCCCCATAAGCCTCTTTTTTTTTTTTTTTTTGTCTTTGTTGGTAAAGCAACATTTCACTTTTGATGTCTATCAGAAAAGGCCATGGTCTGTTACAGTAAGAATTAACACCCAAATCTCAGTGGATTCCAAGAACAAAGGTTTATTTCCCACCCATGTTATACATCCTTTGAGGACTGGCTGTTTCCTCATTCCAGGTTGTAGGCTGATAGGTCAGTCATTGTGTTAATGGTTCTCACTCACTATTTGAATGTGGCAGAGGGAAAGAAAGCCCTGGAGTGTCTCATGCCTGTAATCAAATGCTCTGGCCTGGATGTGACCCACACATCGTTTCTGCTCACGCTGAAAACATTTTTCTTTCAGCATTGTTTTTGAGCTCAACACATGTTGAGACATAGATCTAGTTGATTCTCTTAGTTCTGTATGATACCCTCTCATATAAATACATCACGTTTTATTTACATATTTCCTTATTGCTGGACACAAATGCTGCAGTGAATATCTTTGAATATGTCTCCTAGTGTGTAAGAGTTTTTCTAGTAAATTGTTCCTTTTCTTTTTCACAGTATGCTGAGAAAAGATGGCCCTAAAGTCAACCTTTTATCTGTAGCACCTTAAAAAAAAAAGAAAAGAAAAAACTCCCTGCCATCGAGTCGGATCCAATTCATAGCGACCCCCCCTCTGGGGTTCCGAGGCAGTATCACTACAGAAGTAGATTGCCCAACCTTCCTTCCGAGGAGTGGCTGGTGTGTTTGAACCCCCCAGCCTTCTGGTTAGCAGTCAGATGCCTTAGGCACTGTCTAAAATGTTAGCTTCTAGTTCATACAAACCCCACTGTGGTGAAACCATTTTGAATAAGATCAGTTTACTTGTTTGTGGATGTCGTCTTGCATAGTTTGCACCTGGACATCTACTTTGATGAATGTTTTAAGAGATTTTTTTTTTAATGACCTCTGGTTTAAGAAAAAGAAATAAGGGGTACATACACACATTCAGTACCTATAACTGCTTCTCCTGACAAAGAGAACAGGCTCTTCTTATCAGCAGTTCAGCTGAATTCATCAAAACATCTGGATTTCCTGGATTTAAGAAACTGAGTTTTGGATGATAGCTGCTCTAGCGTGCTTTTCTTTCTCCTTTTCGTCCAGCTTCATCCACCAGTTGTGTAGGAGAAGTTAAGGTTTAGGTAGACTTTTATAACAGGAAGATGAATAACTGGTATTCCTGTTTAAATAACAGGAATTTAAAATATGATAGTGTCCTAAAAACAGCATTAAAATGTAAATATAGTAACATTAAATTTTCCATGAAGGTAAGAATTGAACATAGGTAAGTGAAAGCAATTCCTGTTGTCATTTACACTAATCAGTAGTTCAAAGCTGCTGTTAAACTATTAACCAATTGAATTTTCAAAATTCCAGACTGCATTCCAGTGTTTTAAGTTGCCAGCAAAAGCTCTGAAATGCTCAAAAATGAGTAGGAGAAACAGGAAGAAGCAGCCAAGTTTTAAAATAACTTATGAAATGTTTCGGCATCCCCTGCAGTTTTTTTTAAAGTGAGACTTCTTTTCAGTTTTCCGTGCTCACCAGTATCTACCCATATAAAAAGATTGTGTGGGGGTTCTTCCTTTCAGAGGTAACAGCTGTGACTGGAAGAATACTAGGTATCTAGTACAGAAGTAGATTATTTTTTGTTTCATGTTTCCGCTCTGGTCAGCCTGATCGAAGGTGGTTGTGAATTTTCTTTTCTATATCCTAAAGAATACATAGAAAGTTTATAACTGGGCTGGAACTAGAAACCATTCTGATACCCTCTGCTGCTTTCATAGATGAGGAAGTGGAGATAGGTGGTGAGACTCACAGTGAACTAGTTACTGGCCACTGCTGTTGGAAAGTAGCTGTTCTGAATCCTACTTTGGGGCTTTCTGTATCACTTGGTGCTGATCCTACACTGTGGGGCATGCTGACAGTGAGTGTTAAAGAATGGGCCAAGAAATTTCACCTGTGAGCTGCATTGACTAGTAGGGATGAACTGTTTCCAATTTTCTATTATCTCCTGCTGGGACAAGCAAGCTTCCCAGCTTACACTGGGCTGTGTGAGATTTGCTTTGCAAATTTCTGCAAATATAATAGAACATTCATTAGCGTGGTCTTCTCAGTGGAATTTATTGCTCTTAATCTTTTGGGGCTTAGGGTTTTATTTTTCTGTAATATTACAGTTTACTGCTTACCAAGTGGGGAACCGCTGACTTAGGTCACGACTGAAATGATAGCAGTGAGGCACAGGAGAGGAGTTTTTGCTTCGGGATGGTTTCTGCCATGTCCTCCTCCCGCCACTCTCCCCAACATACTGATGGAGAGAGCTAAGTAGCAGAGGTACCTAAGAAAAAGGACTTCTGTGGGGTCAAGTAATGTTCCTAGTGATGTAATCTCTAGGTGTGATGTGCGGTTCAACAAGGGCCCTTTTGGATGGTCTTTCCCAAAAACAAAATACAAGCCAGCTGCCGTTGAGTCAATTCCAATTCATGACGACCTTGTACAGTTTTCAGAGGCTGATTTTTTTGAAGTAGAATACCAGGTCTTTCTTCTGAGGTGCTTCTGGGTGGACTAGAACCTGTAGCCTTTTGGTTAGCAGTCAAGTGTGTTAACCATATGTGCACCACCCAGGGATGGATGGTCTTTAGGACAGAATTAAATAGCAACTTTGTAAACAAGTGACTTTAGCTCTGCGTCCTTAAACTCAGTTTTAATGTTACATCCTTAAACTCAGTTTTAATATTATAGTTTCGTACTTAGCCAGTAGATTCTACCCTGGGGAACAAAAAAGGAAACTCCAGCATTTGCGCTCACTCTGTGTTCATTGCAGAGCATTTGACAGCTCAACCTGTTACTGTAATAATAATAATAATAAAAAAACTAATTACTATGGAAATTCATTATGTCCTAGAAAAACATCTTGAGCTGCTTAAATGTATGTTTTTTATCTACTTAGAGGTTTTCCTTCCTCTTTCAGACTTGATTAGAAGCTGGTGGTTACTTGTTGGCCTGTGAGTAAGTGCCCACAGCTCTTCTGGTTTATGGTTCCCAGGCTGCAGATTAGAACCACTGGGGAATTTAAAAAATACTAACGCCTGACTCCTCCCCCACCCAAACCAGAAACTCCAAGAAAGGGAACAGGAAATTGAAGGAAAAATTAAAAAAGCATCCCAGCTGTTGTGCAGCTGGGGTTAAACTCCTGGATGGCCATTTGATATGGCGAGAGTGTCTCTGCTTAATGAAATAAGAGGTAACATGAGCTGTTCTTTTTATGATTATGCCTTCGTGGGGATCGTGTCTAACCCAACGTCTCTCATATTCCATTTTCTCTCCTCCTTCCTATTTATCCTGTGGATTTAAACAGAGGTGGTGCAGCTTATAATAAAGTCAGTTCGTGAGGCAAAAATTGAATGCAGTAAAAATGATTAATGAAAGGGCCGTCCCTACAAAGGGGACTGTGTGGGTTAAAAACCAAACACACTGTTTGTTGGTACACTCAGCATAACCAGTTTTTCCGCTGGCACTGGAACGGATCACTGTTTCTTTGGCTAAAACTCTGATAAAATAGTTAGCATTTGGGAGCCATTTTGAATGCAAAAAAGCTATTTTTAAATATTGTAGCGGTACTTGGCTTGGGGAGATACTCAGCTCTGCAAAGCACATGGAAATTGAGCTTGGTTTAGGGACCTGCAGAATCATATTTCTTATGCTCAATTCTGAGGCAGACTCACATGGAGTAGAGTGTGGAAAAAGCCATGGATACCATTTATATTATGAACTGCTTTGTACCTGTGTCTTCTTTTAGGCACAAATAGTTGAATTCAAGCAAATTGAATGTTAAATGTGATAGATATGATACCATATTCTTTAAAGTTCAAGAACTGAACATTTTGTGGAGGTCAGATTTCCCCTTCTTGATTTCAACAGCACTCTTTCTTTCTGTCCTCTAGCATTCCCATGGTTTGGCATGGATATCGGTGGAACACTGGTTAAGTTGGTCTACTTTGAACCAAAGGATATTACAGCTGAAGAGGAGCAAGAGGAAGTGGAGAACCTCAAGAGCATCAGGAAGTATTTGACTTCTAATACCGCTTATGGGAAAACTGGGATCCGAGACGTCCACCTGGAACTGAAAAACCTGACCATGAGTGGGCGCAAGGGGAACCTGCACTTCATCCGCTTTCCCAGCTGTGCAATGCACAGGTTCATCCAGATGGGCAGTGAGAAGAACTTCTCCAGCCTTCACACTACTCTCTGTGCCACAGGAGGTGGGGCTTTCAAATTTGAAGAGGATTTCAGAATGGTATGTTGGGTTTGTCCTTAGTAATACAACAAAACCACTTCTCGGAGGAAAAAACAAAACCTTTCACATGTCCATAATCTCCACATCTCATACCTAAAAACTAGACTACTGCCTTTGGAACTTTAGATAGGATTGGACAAGTTTACTTCACCTCTCAATGCTTAGTTTCCTCATCTCTTTGAAAATAAAAATAGCTCCTACTTCATAGAGTTATTGCAGTAAAGACTAAGTGAGATCATGTGCACCAGGCAGGTGCTCAGTAAATATTAGCTAATATCATTATCATCATTATTTTTGTTAGAATTACTACTGTGTAATATACTAAAGACTAACTCATTGTCATTGAGTTGATTCCAATTCATGGCCCTATAGGACACAATAGAACTGCCCTGTAGGGTTTCTAAGGCTATAAATCTTTATGAAAGCAGACTGCCACCTCTTTCTTCCATGGAAGATAACTGGGAGGTTTGAACTGTTAACCTTTTGAATAGCAGCCAAAGGCTTAACCACTGCATCTCCAAGCCTCCTTCTCAAAAGACTGTTGTTGTTAGGTGCTGTTGAGTCATCTCTGACTCATAGCAACCCTGTCTATAGCAGAACGAAACACTACCCAGTCCTGTGCCAGCTCCATGATCCTTGCTATACCTGAGCCCATCGTTGTAGCCAGTGTACCAATCCATCTGATTGAGGGCCTTCCCCTTTTGCGTTGACCCTCCGCTTTACCAAGTATGATATCCTTCTCCAAGGAATGATCTCTTCTTACAATATGGCCAAAGTAGATGAGCCAAAGTCTGGCCATTCTCACTTCCAAGGAGCATTCTGGCTGCACTTCTTCCAGGACAGATTTGTTAGTTCTTTCACCAGTCCCTGGTACTTTCAGCATTCTTTGCCAACACCACAACTCAAAAGTACCCACTCTTCTTTGGTCTTCTTTATTCATTGTCCACCTCTCACATGCATATGAAGCAATTGAAAATACTGTGGCTTGTGTCAGGCGCACCTTAGTCTTCAAGGAGACATCTTTGCTCTTCAGCATTTGAAAGAGGTCTTTTGCAGCAGATTTGACCAATGCTGTATGTCCTCTGATATCTTGACTGCTGCTTCCATTGGTGTTGATTGTAGAACCAAGTAATATGAAGTCTTTGACAACTTCAGTCTTTTCTCCATTTATTGTGATGCTACTTACTGGTCCAGTTGTGAGGATTTTTGTTTCCTTTATATTAAGGGGTAATCCATACTGCAGGTTATAGTCTTCAGTCCTCGTCAGTAAGTGCTTCAAGTCATCCTCACTTTCAGCAAGCAAAGTTGTGTCATCAGAGTAATACAGGTTGTTAATGAGTCTTCCTCCAATCCTAATGCCACGCTCTTCTTCATATAGTCCAGTTTCTTAGATTATCTGCTCAGCATACAGATTGAATAAGTATGATGAAAGGACACAACCCTGACACACTCCCTTCTTAATTTTAAACCATGCAGTGTCCCATTGTTCTGTTCGAACAACAGCCTCCTGGTCTATGTACAGTTCCTCAAGAGGACAATTAAGTGTTCTGGAATTCCCATTCTTCTCAATATTATCCATAATTTCTTATGATCCATGCAATTGAATGCTTTTGGATAGTCAATAAACACAAGTAAACACCTTTCTGGTATTCTTTCCTTTGAGCCAAGATTCATCTGACATCAGCTATGATATCACTCATTCCACATCCTCTTCTGAATCCAGCTTGCATTTCTAGAAGTTCCCTGGCAATATACTGCTGCAGCCATTTTTGAATTATCTTCAGTGAGATTTTACTTGCATGAGATATTAATATTAATAATAAATTATTAATATTACTGTTCAATAATTTCCACATTCTATGAGTTCACCTTTCTTTGGAATTGATACAGATATGGATCTCTTCCAGTCAGTTGGCCAGGTAGCTATCCAAATATCTTGGCATAGCCAAGTGCGTGCCTCCAGTGTGGCATCCATTTGTTGAAACGTCTCAATGGTTATTTTGTCAGTTCCTGGAGCCTTGTTTTTTGCCACTTCCTTTAGTGCAGCTTTGACTTCTTCCTTTAATACCATTGGTTCTTAATCATATGCCACCTCCTGAAACAGATGAACATCGACCAGTTCTTTTTGGTACAGTGACTCTGTGTATTCCTTCCATCTTCTTTTGATATTTCCTGCATCATTCAATATATATTGCCCATAGAATCTTTCAGTATTGCAACTCGAGGCTTAAATTTTTTCCTTAGTTCTTTCAGCTTGAGAAATGCCAAGCATGTTCTTCCCTTTTGGCTTTCCAGTTCCATGTTTCTGCACATTTCATTAAAATAATTGACTTTGTCTTCTTGAGCTGCTCTTTGAAATCTTCTGTTCAGTGCTTTCATTTTGTCATTTCTTCTATTTGCTTTAGCCACTCTTCATTGAAGACAAGTTTCAGAGTCTCTTCTGACATCCATTTTGATCTTTTCTCCCTTCCCTGTCTTATTCATTGCAAATACCTTTTTTTAATACAAATGGTGGCTATACATGTGGACTTTGCCAGATGGAATACATAGGGATCAGATTGACTACATCTGTGGCAAGAAATGATGGAGAAGCTCAGAATCTTCAGCCAAAACAGGGCCAGGAGCTGATTGTGGATCAGACCATCAACTGCTCATATGCAAGTTCAAGTTGAAGTTGAAGACAATTAAAACAAGTCCACAAGAGCCAAAATATGACCTTAAATTATCCCTCCTGAATTTAGAGACCATCTAAAAAATAGATTTGATGTGTTGAACACCAGTGACCAAAAACAAGAGAAATTGTGTGATGTCATCAAGAACATCGTCCATGAAGAAAGAAAAAGGTCAATAAAGACTAGATGGTGTAAATACCTTTCTGAAGATTTTCAGTTAGAATTTTTCAGTCTTACTACAGCTTCATGAAAAGCACAACCACTATAATAGTTTTATACATGTATAGAATGAGGCCCACAGGAAGGTTTTCTACAGATCTACCCATTACCAAGAGCTCTGGTGGCACAGTGGTTAAAGCACTTGGCTACTAACCAAAAGACCAGCAGTTTGAACTCACCAGTTGATCTGTGGGAGAAATATGAGGTAGTCTGTGTCCATAAAAATTTAAGCTTTGAAAACTACGTAAGGCAGTTCTCTTCCATCCTATAGAGTCACTAAGTATCTCTGTGAGTTGGATTTGACTCAGTGGCAGTGGATTTTGGGGGGATGGCAGTATCTACCCATTTACTCTCATAAATATCTGCCAAAAGGGCAGTGAGGTGACATCTTCTGACCTCCTGTAACTATACAAAAGGAGGACAGAATCACCATCAGCAGCCCAGTGCCTGCTCCCACGAAGCCAGACATGCCACCACCCTCAAACCCTCTTACTAACATTGACACCAACCATCTCTCTCGCAGCACTCACCACCTCTCTGCAGGGTTCAGTAATTTGCTGCAGTGACCACACAGAAGTCACAGATTATAGAACTCCAATTCAGGTTCAGAATTGCGCTCAATCTCTCTCAGCTGGTCGTCTCTCTGCCGGCTGTGTCTCAGCCAGTAGTCTCTTTCAGTAGTACATCTGTCTCTCAGCAGTGTGTGTCTCTCTTACATCTCTCAGCAGTGCATTTCTCCCAGCAGTACATCTTTCTCAGCCAGCAGTCATAGAGGGACCTTCTGCCTCTAGAAAGGCTCGTTTTGAGCCTGGCAGAGTGGCCAGAATCAACCAATCCCAACATCAGAGTTCTAAACACCTGAGAGAGAGTGAACTTCCCAGAAAATTAGTTCTGCTGCTCCAGCAGAAATACACCAGGTGGATAACTTCAACAGTCAGGTACTCAGTTGCTCAGGGCAAAGTGGGAGTTACCCAGAAAAGCTATACCATGTAGTTTACTACACTGAAGTATGCTTTTTGATTAATGTCATTTAGAAGTTTCACTTGGAAAAAAATGAAATCTTTGGTCCCATTTGTAGGTGAGTTCCTTTATTATAGAATACCATTTAGGAAGTATGATTCTATAAATTAGAATAACATTGTATCCTGACTGACAGTACATAACCTCTGCATTCATTACTCATTTAGATTCCACAAATCCAAATAGAAGATACGGGGATATGGGCGAGTTATATACAGTCCAAAGCTTCTCTTTATATAACAATCCCACAGCATCTGTGTGTTCCAATTCCTCTACCTTTTACAGTCAAGATAATAATCTTGGTAATGTTGATCCTCGTCTCATAGAAATTTGTAAGAATACAATGAAATAAATAATAGATGTAGATGTAGTTTGGAATATAAAGAGAGCTAGATAAACAGGCAACTGGGTAGCACAAACGGTTAAGCACTCAACTACTAGCTGAAAGGTTGGTGGTTCAAATCCACCCAGAGTTGCCTTGAAAGACAGACCTGGTGATCTACTTCTGAAAAATCACAGTCTTAAAAACCCTGTGGAGCAGTTCTACTCTGCATACATGGGTTGCTGTAAGTCACAATCTTCTCAGCAACAAATAAACAGAATGATTGAACATAGAAGAAGGAATTGGAAGTTTTAGAATTAGTCTTGCCCACTTCTAGTCCTGTGAGAGCCCTCTTGGTCCCTCAAGGACACTCCACGTGGGGTCCATCTCCAAAAGAAACCTGAATTGAGCCCAGGTGACCTAGAAGATTTATGCAATGTCTTTGGATGTCTCTATTCCTCCCCTGGGATGATGTATGTTCTGGGAGAAATTTATCCAATATATGTTGGCCATGTGCAGCTGTGTTAAAGCTATAGGGAAATAAGTTGTAAAATAATACATCTTCTCAAAGCCTGGCATGCAGATTCCTGGCATTTTGTCAGGGAACTAATATAATACAATCTTGTTATAAGATCTATCATTAATCTTATTTCTGGAATGTATTTTGCCTGGTATTTGACCCTCGGTGAGATGGATTGACACAGTGGCTCCAGCAATGGTCTCAAACACAGTAGTGATTTGTGAGGATGGTACAGAACCAGGCAGCG